TGCTGACAAAATACCAAGTACATGTTGAAATGTGTCTCATTTTTCTGCCTAGGTAAGGTTACCAAGCATTAATTATAGGATTATGAAATACGCAATTTGGAAGGCTCTTCATACAGCATTTGTATTGATGAGAAAATGGAATTTCCCTTTGACTTTTCCTTGGTATTGTAATTCAGAGAATATTCAGTTTAATTTTTCTAAAGGAGAATCATCTTGGGATAATAATGTTTAAGGGTAACTTTAATGTTCCCCGAGTTTATCTGCAAGGTATTAGAGAAAATATTATACAGGTATGCCTCATTTTACTGTGCTTTACAAATGATGCCTTTTCTGTAAATTGAAAGTTTGTGGAAATTCTGTGTCAGACAATTCTGTTGATGCCGTTTTTACAGTGGCACGTGCTTACTTGGTAATTCTCACAATATTTCAAACTTTCTGATTATTATATCTGTTATGATCTGTGATCAGTGCTCTTTGATGTTGCTATTATAATTGTTTTGGGGTGCCATGAATGTTGGCCATATAAGACGGCAAACTCAATTGATAAATGTATGTGTTCTGACTGCTCCACTGACTGGCCATTCCTATCTTCTTGTTCTTGGGTCTACCTATTCCCTAAGACACAACAATATTGAAATTAAGCCAGTTGATAGCCCTACATTGGCCTCTACATGTTCTAGTGAAAGGAAGAGTTGCATGTCTCTCACTTTAAATCAAAAGCTAGAAATTACTAAGCTTATGAGGAAGACATGTCAAAAGCCAACACAGGCCGAAAGCTAGGTCTCTTGCACCAAACAAGTTAGCCAGGTTGTGAAAGCAAAGGAAAAGTTCTTGAAATAAATGAAAAGTCCTGCTTCAGCAAACACATGAATGATGAGAAAACAAAGCAGCCTTATTGCTGATACAGAGAAAGTTCAAGTGGTCTGGGTAGCAAATAAAACCAGCTACAACATTCCCTTAAGACAAAAGCCTAATCCTTAGTAAGGCCCTAACCGTGTTCAGTGTTATGAAGGCTTAGAGAGGTGGGGATACTGTAGAATAAAAGGTGAAAGTGGGCCAGGCGCTGTGGCTTATGCTTGTAATCCCAACACTGGGAGGCTGAGGTGGGCGCATCACGAGGTCAGGAGTTTGAGACCAGCCTGGCCAATATGGTGAAACCCTGTCTCTACTAAAAAAATTAGCCAGGCGTGGTGGTGCTCGCCTGTAGTGCCAGCTACTCAGGAAGCTGAGGCAGAAAAATTGCTTGAACCCGGGAGGCAGAGGTTGCAGTGAGCCAAGATTGTGCCACTGCACTCCAACCTGGTAAAAGACTCCATCTCAAAAAAAAAAAAAAAAAAATTGAAACCCACAAGAGGTCGGTTATGAGGTTTAAGGAAAGAAGCCACCTCCGTAAGCACTCCAGCCTGGGCGACAGAGCAAGACTGTGTCTCAAAAGTTGAAAGCTAGCAGATGTCAGTTATGAGGTTTAAGGAAAGAAGCCACTTCCATAGAAGTACAAGGTGGAGCAGCAAGTGCAGATGTAGAAATTGTACCAAACTATTCAGAGCATCTAGCTAAGGTAATTGATTAAGGAGGTTACACTAAACAACAGATTTTCAATGTAAACAAAACAGCCTTCTACTGGAAGAAGATGCCGTCTAGGACTTTGCTAGCTAGAGGAGAAGTCAGTGCCTACCTTCAAGGCTACAAAGGACAGGCTGACTCTTGTTAGGGGATGTTGCAGTTGATGACTTTAAGTTGAAGCCAGTGCTCATTTGCCATTCCCAAAATCTTAAGAGTCCTTAAGGATGATGCTAAATCTACTCTGCCCATGCTCTAGGAATGGAGCAACAAAGCCTCTATGACAGTATATTGATTTATGGCATGGTTTACTGAATACTTAAAGCCTACTGTTGAAACCCCACTGCCCAGAAGAAAAGTTTCCTTTCAAAATAGGTGATCATTGTTGATGCCCAAGAGCTCTGATGGAGATGAATTGTTTTCATGCCTCTTAACACAGCGTACTTTCTGCAGCCTGTGGAGCAACAAAGAAGAATTTCGACTTTCAAGTCTTATTATTTATTAATAAGAACTATATTTCATAAGGCTATAGGTGCTGTAGATAGTGATTCCTTTGATGGATCTGGACAAAGTAAATTGAAAACCTTCTGGAAAGGATTCAGCATTCTGGATGTCATTAAGAACATTCACGATTCATGGGAGGTCAGAATACGAGTTAGGAAGAATCTGATTCCAGCCTGTATTGATGACTTTGAAGGGTTCAAGACGTTAGTGGGAGGAGTTACTGCAGATAGAGAGCAAGAGATCTATAGTAAGAAATGCAACCTGAAGATGTTACTGAATTGTTGCAGTCTCATGATAAAACCTGAATGGATAAGGAGTTGCTTCTTATGGGTGAGCAAAAAAAAAAAAAAAGTTTCTTGAGATGGAGTCTACTCCTGGTGAAGATGCTGTGAACATTGTTGAAATTACAACAAGGATTAAGAATATTACATAAACTTGAATTGATAAAGCAACCCCAGGGTTTGGGAGGATAGACTCCAATTTTGAAAGAAATTCTGTAAAATGCTTACACACAGCATTGCGTGTTATAGAGAAATCTTTTGTGAAATGAAGATTCAGTCAGTGTGACAAATTTCGTTTTTGTCTTATGTTAAGAAATTGCCACAGCCACCCCAGTCTTTAGCAACCACTACTCTAATCAGTCAGCAGCTGTGAACATCTGGGCAAGGCCTTCTGTCAGTAAGATTACCACTCTCTGTAGGCTCAGATGATTGTTAGCATTTTTAGCAATAGAATTTTTTTTTAACAGAGTTTGGCTCTTGTTACCCAGGCTGGAGTGCAATGGCACAATCTCGGCTCACTGCAACCTCTGCCTCCTGGGTTCAGGCAATTCTCCTGCCTCAGCCTCCTGAGTAGCTGGGATTACAGGCATGCCCCACCATGCCCAGCTAATTTTTTTTGTATTTTTAGTAGAGACGGGGTTTCACCATGTTGACCAGGATGGTCTCGATCTCTTGACCTCATGATCCACCCGCCTCGGCCTCCCAAAGTGCTGGGATTACAGGCGTCAGCCACTGCGCCCGGCCTAATTTTTTTTTTTTAACCTGGAAACTCATTTAAAGCAATAGACTTTTAAATTAAGGTATGTGCATTTTTTTTTTTTTAAGATATAATGCTATTTTAGACATAAGATAGACTACAGTGTAGTGTAAACATAACTTTTATATGCACTGGGAAACCAGAAAATTTGTTTGACTCTCCTTAAAGATAGTCCCTTTTTTGTGATACTCACTTAGAACTGAACTTACAATATATCCAAAGTGTGCCTTTTTATATAATATGTCAGGTATGTATAAGCTATTATATATTATCTAGCAATAAAACTATTTTAACAGAAGTAAGTATATACAGATTATTAAAACTGGTACACATTATTTCAGAACATATCTATGCAGCATTACTTAATCTTTATTATTTTCCCAGTTAGGTGTTTGATTAAATGCAGAATCACATTTAATCATTTTCCCCACTCCTAGCACAGCACTCTGATTTCTTCTTGACTGATTTGTTCCTCTGAAAAATCAGTCATCCTGTTCCTTGCCTTCTTTTTTTTTTTGAGATTTTCCCTCTGTCACCCAGGCTGGAGTGCAGTGGCACAATCTTGGCTAATGGAAACCTCCGACTCTTGGATTCAAGTGATTCTCGTGCCTCAGCTTCCCGAGTAGCTGGAATTACAGGCACATACCACCATGCCTGGCTAAATAATTGTTTTGTATTTTTAGTAGAGATTGGGTTTCACCACGTTGGCCAGGCTGGTCTTGAACTCCTGACCTCACGTGATCTGCAACCCCCTCAGCCTCCCAAAGTGTTGGGATTACAGGCTTGAGCCACCTAGCCTTTTATTTTTTTTTATTTTTTATTTTTTTGAGACCGAGTCTTGCTCTGTCTCCTAGGCTGGAGTGCAGTGGCATGATCTTGGCTCACTGAAACCTCCCTCCCTCTCCTGAGTTCAAGTGATTCTCCTGCTTCAGCCTCTCAAGTAGCTGAGACTACAGGTGCACACCACCACACTCAGCTGATTTTTTCCATTTTAGTAGAGACGGGGTTTCACCATATTGCCCAGGCTGGTCTTGAACTGCTGGATTCTAGCAGTCTACCTGCTTCAGCCTCCCAAAGTGCTAGAATTACAGGTGTGAGCCACTATGCCTGGCCCCTTCGCCTTCTTTTATAGTTAAGTGTTTCTTCTGTGTTTCTCTTAAATAACTCTGCTTGCTTATATCTGTCATAGCACTTAGCACACTATAGTTGTCTCTCTGCCTAATTTCTGTGAATTCTGTTTAGTGATGAGTTTTCAGTGTCTTGGGTCTCTAGGTATAGCAAAGAATCTGTTACGTAGTAAGCATAGGATAACCTATTTTTTAAATGAAAGCATTGGAGAGCTCTCATTATTTGCCACTGTAATAGCAACTAGCATTTTACATTTTTTTTTCTAAATTTTGGGGGTAAACATAAAATTTACCATCTTAATTATTTTTAGGTGTACAGTTCAGTTAATGTTAAGTACTTTGTGCAACCAATTACTGTGCAACTAATCTCCAGAACTCCTGTTCATCTTTCAAAACTTTGTAAACTCTATAACCCATTAAACTCCCCATTACCCCTTCTTAACTAGTGACAACCACCATTCTTTTTGTTTCTATGAATTTGATTTCTTATACCTCATATAAGTGGAATCATACAGTATTTGGATTTTTTTGGAGCAGGGGGGCTGACTTATTAATGTAATGTTCCTAGCTTCTCCTCATGTTATATCAAGTGTTAGAATTTCTTTCATCAGAGTTTTTAAATATTTCATCATGTATATATATATGTACTTTTTTTTCATTTATCTGTGGATGGACAGTTGGGTTGTTTCTACCTTTTGACTGTTGTAAATAATGTTGCTTTTAACATGGGGGTGCAACTATCATTTTTTGACATGGACCCTTTATTTTTAGATGGGCACTCTGGTTTTTTAAAAATGATAAAAGCAAAACTTGGCAAGCAAACCTACGGCTGATCTCTAAGTTTGATACCGTTGAAGACTTTTGGGCGTAAGTAACCATTTGTTTTAGAATGTTTGTTGTTTTATTAGCTGTGTGGTCTTTTTATTTTTAAGTTGAATTCACAAAATGAATTGTGAGGTGAACAGTTAATGAATGTTCATCTATTTTCTTATCTCCTCACAAATGTTTGAATTGGTGATTATGCTTTATTAGTTCTACAAAACTTAAATCTTGTCATCTTTCAGCCCTGATTATTCTGTTTCTTGTCCTGAGATATCCTTTGCTCAGGAATCCTTTATTGCCCTTAGAACTTTTGACAATTAGTTGGAACTTGTTCTTCTCTTGGTTGACAAGATACGTTTGCCTCATAACCAGGTATTCCAGTGCATTGTTGGGTCCTCATTTTTGCAAACTGTTTTTAGTGGAACATCTGGAATTTCGTGTACCACAGATTTTAAGATATCAAAGGCTAAAATGTTCAGAATTCAGGGTTTGTCAAGGGAATGCCAGTATCATGATACTTTATTCATTTCATTATACTTTGACCAGTATCAAGAAGAATATTTGAAATATTTTTGAAATTTTGTTTCTGATATAGCAAAAAGCTAAGAATTGGGATCATCAACTTTTGCATGACTTCAAAACAGAATTTAAGACTGGGCTTAGTGGCTCATGACTGTAGCACTAATACTTTGGGAGGCTGAGGCAGGAAGATGATTTGCATCCCGTAGTTCAAGACCAGCCTGGTCAACATGAGTTCCTGTTTCTCTAGAAAATATAAAAATTGTAAAGTCTAAGTTAAGAAGTTTTGATAATTGATTCTCTTAAAAATGAAGTTAATCCAGTGTGTCTAATTTACTTGGAGAATGAGTAGAGAGGAACTATTTGAGACCATGAAAGACAAAAGTCTTTAATAAGCATAAATGCATTGAAACCTAATAATAACTACATTTAAGTCCTAATAATTTATAGTTCCAGTTGTCTAGTTAAACTAGGGTTATTCTTCTTTGCCAGTCATTAAAAACAAGTAGTTTTTCTTCTATAATTATGTTTATTTAGAACTTTAAAATAACTCCAGCCTTCTGCACAAAAAAAAAAAAAAAAAAAAAAAAAGCTCCTGCAGAGGAAAAGATTCTTAAGAGTTGACGAATTTTTAAAAGTCAGTTTTGCTGTAAGTGACTACAGGAGATCAAATGATCTAAGCCTTTTGCCTTCAGGAAAGCGACTGAGTCACTGCAAATGTTATTTTGCTATTTTGATATTTGGGAAATAGTGTAGAAATACAGATTCCAGAGTATCATTTCATATTCAGGTGATTATAATCCCAGGAGGTAGTGCTTGGAACTATATTTTTCTAAAATCATTTTAAAAATGATTATTGTGTTGACTGACCAGCAACAGTTAGTGGTGTTTGCGAACCATTGGTCTATTTTTCTCTTGGATACCCTCGAGGATAATAATGTTGACTATTTCAGCCACACAATCCCGATGGTCAGGAAGTTCATCTTTTCTGTGTTTTTTTTTTTTTCTCCTAATGTGTTTGTGAAAAAACAAAACTGTTCGTTAACTTCAGAAATTATTTCATTTACTTAAAGCCACCATATACCTCTCTTCTCAGTTTCTTATATACACACATATGTATGCACTGAGTTAACTGACATATAAAAATATATTTTTGTCAGCTTAATCAGTAGAAATTTTTTTGAAAATTATACCTGTCGTCTGAAGTTGATTATTGAACTGCTTTTAAGATCTGTTTTGTCCATTTAAGAAATTGACTTCTTAGAAACAAGTAGACATGAACTTTTATCTGTTTATTTTTCATATTTTCTAAATGTGGTAGGTGCTTATATATATGTAAGCACCTAAACTCTGTATTACATATTCTGTGTTTTTAATTGTCATTTTCTTTTACCTAGTCTGTACAACCATATCCAGTTGTCTAGTAATTTAATGCCTGGCTGTGACTACTCACTTTTTAAGGTATGTGTAATTGGTGATTTTTATATATTTATTATAGGACTGGGCCATTTGGTATTCATTAAGAAATCTTGCCATAAACTTAGGAGTATTTGATAGTATGGTGAGCAGGTTGATAATGTAATTGGCTTTAGTATGCTTTAGTATAAATGTATCTTACTCTTTTTGTTTATAAAAATTGGTATCACTATAGATACCATACTGAGATTGATTTTGATGAGAGCTTTGATTATCCAGTCTGCTCCTTCCTTTATATACTTGAGCAGACTGAGTTTACCAGGCATTCTTAACCTTAGGAGCATAGGCTCTTGGAATACTTATTGGGCTTTGTCAGGTGTGGGGACAGGACATTCATTAACTGAAATTGAATAGTTTTTGCATGTATTTTCTAGGTATAGAAGTGTACAGAGCTTCTAAAATATGTTTTCTGTTTAGAAAAAGAACCTTCAAATTAAATGAAACTCAAGATTTACTATAATAAGTGACAAAGTCAGGACTGTAATTCTGCAGTGTCATGCCTCTGGTGTTAAGTTTTATGTGCTTTTTAAAAACTACGTCAGTGACAGTTTAATGGAGAATAAACTAAGAAGTTAACAGTGTTGTTGCTCATTGTTTCTAATGATTATCTCTCAAAGTCAAGGTAACAATATTGTGTAATACTGTTGTCTTCTAACCCCGTAGGATGGTATTGAGCCTATGTGGGAAGATGAGAAAAACAAACGGGGAGGACGATGGCTAATTACATTGAACAAACAGCAGAGACGAAGTGACCTCGATCGCTTTTGGCTAGAGACAGTAAGGTTTTCAAAGTATAAAGCAGCTTTAGAGGTAGTTTTGGAATACTGAAACTTAATATATGTTACATTTTACATTTGTTACTTGATTTAAGAGGAGAGAAGCATGCCCAGCACTAGAAAATCAGGGTCAGTAATTACTTTTGTTCTGTCATGTGACTTCTGTTTATAGTACAGTGAAACATTCTACCATATTGTAAGTCAGATATTTGAGTGATTGGCAGTTAACTCTCACCACCAATTTTGTGGCCATTTCATTAACCCCAATATTACAGAACCTTGCATTTTGTATGATTGAAGTTTTTGCAACTCACTTACAGCATTGCTATACATATACTAAAATTATAAATATTTATGTTTTTAGAGCTGGGGTCTTGCTCTGTTACCCAGGCTGGAGTGCAGATATTTATTTATACGGCTCTCTTCAGCCTCACTCTTTGGGTTCAAGCAACCCTCCCACCTCAGCCTCTTAAGTAGCTTGGACTGCATGTGCATGCCACCATGCCCAGCTAATTTTTAAAATCTTTTTGTAGAAATGGGATCTTGATATGCTGTCCAGGTTAGTCTCAAACTCCTGGCCTCAAGTGATCCTCCCACTTGAGCCTCTCAAAGTGCTGGAATTACTGATGTGAGTCACTGTGCCTGTCCTACTAAACTTTTTAGATCAGTGAAGCAAACAATAAAATTGTTGTGTACTGTTAATTCAACCTACATGTTGTGATAGAACTGGAACTTTTGCCTTCACAAGACAACTTAAATATGAGATAATAGGCATTTTCTGTAGACAGCAGTTCCAAACCCCAAATTTTAGGAATAGGATTTGTATTCTCTTTTGTATCCCTAGCACTTGAAAGAGTGCCTGGTTTATAGTTAGCACTAACTAAGTTAATTACTTAAAATGTTGGGATAAGTGACTTTTTTTTTTTTTTTTTTTCCTTTAAAGACAGGGTCTTGCTCTGTCTGTCACCCAAGCTGGAGTGCAGTGGGGCCATCATAGCTCACTGTAGCCTCCTGGGCTCAAGCAGTCATCCTGCATTAGCCTGTCAAGTAGTTGGGACTACAGGTGCATGTCAGTCACCCAGCTATGAATGAATGGCTTTTTTTTTTTTTTTTTTTGAGACGGAGTTTCGCTCTTGTTACCCAGGCTGGAGTGCAATGGCGCGATCTCGGCTCACCGCAACCTCCGCCTCCTGGGCTCAGGCAATTCTCCTGCCTCAGCCTCCTGAGTAGCTGGGATTACAGGCACGTGCCATCATGCCCAGCTAATTTTTTGTATCTTTAGTAGAGACGGGGTTTCACCATGTTGACCGGGATGATCTCGATCTCTCGACCTCGTGATCCACCCGCCTCAGCCTCCCAACGTGCTGGGATTACAGGCTTGAGCCACCGCGCCCGGCTGAATGAATGGCTTTTTAAGAAGTAATTGAATTCTGGTTTTGAGGGGGAAGATCATCAGCAAGTATCATTTTGGAATTCCATATTAAAAAGTCAGGACATTTCCATGTTTCAGTTTAAAAAAATGTTGTGGAGATGGATGGTAGTAGTGATGGTTGTACAACAATTTTGAATGTCCTTAATGCCACTGAACTGTACACTTAGAAATGGTTAAAATGGTAAATTTTGTTATTGATGTTTTAAGAAACCCAGTAGGGCCAGGCTCACACTTGTAATCTTTCACTTCAGGAGGCCAAGCCAGGTATTTCACTCAGTGAAACTCACAAGTTCAAGACCAGCTTGGGCAACATGGGAAAAGCCTGCCTCTACAAAAAATACAAAAATTAACTAGGTGTGGTGACATGTGCCTGTATGTAGGCCCAGCTACTCAGGAGGCTGAGGTGGGAGGATCACTTAAGTCCGGGAGGTTGAGGCTGCAGTGAGCTGTGATGGTGTTACTGCACTCCAGCCAGGGTGACAGAGCAAGACCCTTTCTCAAAAACCAAAAAAAAAAAACTCAAACAATTAACTATTCATAAAAAATAAGAATGAGGCAGTTAATTTAACCATGAATAAGTATTTCTGTTATTCTGTTGTTTGCTTGTAAATAGAAGCAGCAGCAGAGCAAATGAGTATTATAAAATCAGCTTTTATATCTGCCATGATATTAGCTGCCAAATTTGCTGAAAAAGGTGAGGACAACTGTTAATGTTTTTGGTAATAAGTAAATGAATGAATATTTAAAAGTCAGGACAGATCTGTGTATGCAAATAAAATTTAGACATTTAAAAAGGTAACTCTTGATTTAAAAGCTGTCTTTAGTTTTGTGTCTATATGAATATAGAAGAGACATTTGCAGTGTAATAGCTTGTTTATTAAATGTAATTTGGGATTTTTTTTTTAAGCTGCTGTGCCTTATTGGAGAATCTTTTGATGACTACAGTGACGATGTATGTGGCGCTGTTGTTAATGTTAGAGCTAAAGGAGATAAGATAGCAATATGGACTACTGAATGTGAAAACAGAGAAGCTGTTACACATATAGGGTAAGTTTTCCTCTTCGTCTACTTATTTTTACAGTATTAAAATGACTAGAATCAGAAGTTATTTTATTTGTAGCTTTAGATATACTTTGGTTTGTAAATCCTGTTTTCCTTGTATTGTTTTCATGAACATTTTTATAAGTTTGAATGGCTCTGTTGGTGCTCACTGTCTTGTTCATATATATATTTGTGGTTTTTGTTTTTGATTTTGTTTTTTTACACCACTATTTCATTTATTTATTTATTTATTTTGAGAGAGAGTCTCTGTTCCTCAGGCTGTGTAGTACAGTGGCATGATCTAGGCTCACTGCAACCTCCGCCTCTCGGGTTCCAGCAGTTTTCATGTCTCATCCTCAAGTAGCTGGGAATACTGGTGCATGCCACCATGCTCGGTTAATTTTTGTATATTTAGTAGAGACCAGGTTTTGCCATGTTGACCAGGCTGGTGTTTACTCCTGGCCTCAAGTGATTCATCCACCTTGGCCTCCCAAAGTGCTGATATTACAGGCGTGAGCCACTGCACCCAGCCTTGTTCATATGTTTTTTATTTCTGTAAAATTGTTTTTTCTTAGCAGTATATAACCACTAGAGCACTCCTTTGGCATGTAGTATTTTTTTAAAATTCATTCACCAAATGAGAATATTATTTCCTACTTTGAAAGTACTGTTTGAAAAAAGTACTACTTTGAAAAGAGCTAATGTATGCTCGTAATAAAAATAATTCAGTGAGTATTGACAAATAGTATATGTGCATTTAAAGCATGTGAATTTTCATTAAATTTATATTACATAAAACATAGAATTTTCATTAAATTTATATGATATATCTGGTTTTTATCCATATTTAAAACCCACATATGTGGGGGGGTTTTGACCGGTTTTGAAAATTTTATTCTGTGCAAAAATGGTGGTTTTTGTTGTTGTTTTTGTTTTGTTTTGTTTTGTTTTTTTGAGACAGGGTCTTACTGTGTTATTCAGGTAGGAATGCAGTGGTGCAGTCATGGCTCACTGTAGCCTAAACCTCCTGTTGATCCTCCCACCTCAGCCACCAGAGTAGTTGGAACTAACTACAGGCGCGTACCACCACGTCTGGCTAATTTTTTTTTGTACATTTTGTAGAGAAGAGATTTTGCCATGTTGCCCAGACTGGTCATGAACTCCTGGATTTGATCAAGCCACTTCATTCAGCCTTTCAAAGTGCTGAGATTACAGGCGTGAGCTACCATGCTAAACCAGCTGGCATTTTTTTCTAAGATTTCTTTTTACCTCAATTATACTAGTAATATTCGACTCACAATTTTATGTTAAAACTAAGTGCTGGTCAGTCAGTGGTCATGAAATGTTTGGTTTGCCCCGTTGTGATTTTTTTTCAAATATTATTAATTTTTCTTTTTAAAATTAATTTTTTGAGACAGTTACACTGTTGCCCAGGTTGGAGTGCAGTAGTGCGATCTTGGCTCACTGCAACGTCCACCTCTTGGGTTTAAGTGACTCTCTTGCCTCAGCCTCCTGAATAGCTGGGGTCACAGGCCTGAGCCACTACAGCATTTTTTGTAGAGACAAGGATTTTGCTATGTTGGCCAAGCTGGTGTTGAACTCCTGGCCTCAAGTGATCTGCCTGTCTCAGCCTCCCAAATTGCTGGGATTTCAGGCTCTCGGCCATGTATTTTTCTGTGAACATAATTTATTTCTAGATCAAAAGGTATAGGGATTTTCTACATTTCATGCTGTATAGGGTTCATTAAGAGAAAGGAGTTGATTTGTCATCATATTTTAATGTTTCTGCCAGCATCAAAACCTGATTGTGGAGGTTTTACTTTATTTTAAACAAGAGTTAGAGAAATTAAGATTTTTTTCCTACGGAAGTTTTGCATATTTCTCAATATTAAATGCTTTTGAGTCTATATAGACTTCAGATTTTCAAAGAAAGATTTTTTTTAACCCTTCCAATTTGCATTGGTCTTGCTTTCTGGCATTTTTAATAATTAAGTGTAATTGAAAGGAATGCATTGTATTTAATGCAAATTTGATAATTATCACTTTATCATAAAATTTCTTTTAAATACTTTATTTTAGCGGGAAGGTGATAAATCTTTTTGGAAGGTATGAAAAAACTATCCTAGTATTGTGTTGGAGGATTTAACTCCATTAATATGTTTGTTCCTTTATTGATTCACTGATTGATTGATACAGAGTTTCATTCTTGATGGTCCAGGCTGGAGTGCAATGATGCAATCTAGGCTCACTGCGACCTCCATCTGTCTGGTTCAAGTGATTCTTCTGCCTCAGCCTCTAGAGTAGCTGGGATTAAAGGCATGCACCACCATGCCCAGCTAATTTTGCATTTTTAGTAGAGACAAGATTTCTTCATGTTGGTCAGGCTGGTATTGAATTCCCAACCTCAGCTAATCTGCCCACCTCCACCTCCCAAAGTGCTGGGATTACAGGTGTGAGTCACCATGCCTGGCTATTCCTTTATTTATATCTGATTTTGCTTATTTTTGAATTTTTGCTATATTTTTCTTTCTTTCTTTTTTTTTTTTTTTTTGAGACAGAGTCTCACTCTGTTGCCCAGACTGGAGTGCAGTGGTGCTATCTCAGTTCACTGCAACCTCTTCCTCCTGGGTTCAAGCGATTCTCCTTCCTCAGCCTCCCAAGTAGCTGGGACTACAGGCACATGCTACCACACCCAGGTAAGTTTTTTTTTTTTTAGTAGAGTTGGGGTTTCACCATCTCAATCTCCTGACCTTGTGATCCGCCTGCCTCGGCCTTCCAAAGTGCTGGGATTATAGGTATGAGCCACTGTGCCGGCCTTATTTTTTTCTTAAAGATTCAAATTTTTAAGGTGACCTATGAAGCTCTCTTCCTCTGAAAACTTGTCAGCCTTATCTCATATTCACTTCACTTATGAGCCATAGCCACACAGTTTAATTTTTATTTCTCAGCTTTCAGATGTGCTCATTCTCTTAACATTATCCTTTTGACCTTGTGATATTTAAAGGGAAGACTTCTCTAATTTTGTAGATGAGATTAGAATCTCCTTGTTTTACAGTATCACAGCCCCTATATTTACTCTTTGGCACTTGTGACAAGTGCCATTTTGTTCTTGGAAACGTATGCTTGAGTCACATCTTATTTAAAAATTAGATTTGAAAGTTAGTAAGTTAGAAATTATGTATGTTCTTAAGTTAATCTCCCTCTAAGTGTTTAGTTTTTGTTTGTGCAGCCTTGTAACAGGTATGGTAAATGTAATTTGTGTAGTAATATACAATATGTGCTAGGGTTCAGATGTGAAATGTAACATTTTAGATGAAAGAATGAAAACAAACATGTTTGTGTTACAGATTTCTGTTTAAGTATGCATGTGATACAGGTCCGTCATAGGTATTTGTGATTATTTGTGTTTTTTTTTTTATTAGACTGTAAATGCAGTGAGCCCAGGGACTGTCCTGGCTTTGTTCACTATTGATTTAGTAATAATTATCATAGTACCAGAATAAATAACAGTATAATCATATAGTAATGCTACTATAATTTAGTAATAACATACCTGATTGGCTCTCAAATATTTTAAAAGTAATTAATAGCTGGGCGCAGTGGCTCACACCTGTAATCTCAGCACTTTGGGAGGCCAAGGTGGGTGTATTGCCTGAGGTCAGGAGTTTGAGACCAGCTTGGTCAACATAGTGAAACCCTGACTCTACTAAAAATGCAAAATACTAGCCGGGTGTGGTGGCGGGTGCTTGTAATTCCAGGTACTCGGGAGGCTGAGGCAGGAGAATCGCTTGAACCTGGAGGTGGAGGTTGTAGTGAGCTGAGATCGTGCCATTGCATTCCAGTCTGGGTAACAAGAGCAAAAATCAATCAATCAATCAATCAATATAATTAACCAAGAATATTGCAAAAATGGAAGATTAAATTGTGCTAAAAGGAAAAGGCTGTATAATTTCCTGTTGTACTCTTAAGTCTGTATTTTATAACAAAGACTAATAACACTAAATTTTTAAATTTATTTACTTCTTGTGAATAAAAATTAATGGCGACTTCTTTTTTTTTCTTCTAGGAGGGTATACAAGGAAAGGTTAGGACTTCCTCCAAAGATAGTGATTGGTTATCAGTCCCACGCAGACACAGCTACTAAGAGCGGCTCCACCACTAAAAATAGGTTTGTTGTTTAAGAAGACACCTTCTGAATATTCTCATAGGAGACTGCGTCAAGCAATCGAGATTTGGGAGCTGAACCAAAGCCTCTTCCAAAAGCAGAGTGGACTGCATTTAAATTTGATTTCCATCTAAATGTTGCTGAGATATAAGAGAAGTCTCATTTGCCTTTGTCTTGTACTTCTGTGTTCATATATATATATATTTTTTTGGCTAGAGTGTCCACTATCCCAATCAAAGAATTACAGTGCACATCCCCAGAATCCATAAGTGTGTTCCTGGCCCACTCTGTAATAGTTCAGTAGAATTACCATTAATTACATACACATTTTACCTATCCACAATATTCAAAAAACAACTTGGCATTTCTCTACTTTACAGGAAAAAAATTCTGTTGATGTTCTGTTGTATGCAGGAGCATATTTTGCTGGTTTGAAAGATTATGATGCATACAGTTTTCTAGCAATTTTCTTTGTTTCTTTTTACAGCATTGTCTTTGCTGTACTCTTGCTGATGGCTGCTAGATTTTAATTTATTTGTTTCCCTACTTGATAATATTAGTGATTCTGATTTCAGCTTTTCATTTGTTTTGCTTTTGTTTTTTTTCCTCATGTAACATTGGTGAAGGATCCAGGAATATGACACAAAGGTGGAATAAACATTAATTTTGTGCATTCTTTGGTAATTTTTTTGTTTTTTTTTGTAACTACAAAGCTTTGCTACAAATTTATGCATTTCATTCAAATCAGTGATCTATGTTTGTGTGATTTCCTAAACATAATTGTGGATTATAAAAAATGTAACATCATAATTACATTCCTAACTAGAATTAGTATGTCTGTTTTTGTATCTTTATGCTGTATTTTAACACTTTGTATTACTTAGGTTATTTTGCTTTGGTTAAAAATGGCTCAAGTAGAAAAGCAGTCCCATTCATATTAAGACAGTGTACAAAACTGTAAATAAAATGTGTACAGTGAATTGTCTTTTAGACAACTAGATTTGTCCTTTTATTTCTCCATCTCTATAGAAGGAATTTGTACTTATTGCAGGGCAGTCTCTGTATTGTGTCTTCTTTTGTGGTGTCTTCCATGTGAACAGCATAAGTTTGGAGCACTAGTTTGCTTATGTTTATTACAATTTTTAATAAATTGAATAGGTAGTATCATATATATGGAATTAAATTGATGTGGCTATCTTTGTTTTTTTATAAAGTAAGGCACAGTCCTTCAGTCTTAGGTAAATAATGTACTCTCTTAATATGTTAATACTCATGAGAATTGGGATCTGACGCATCACCATTTGATTAGTAGCAACAGTGGTTGTAAAACTTGGTTGCTGAATTGAGTTGTTTGTATGTAAGTGTCAAAATGATAGTATAGGGAAAGGACAGGTGGTGGGGATGTATGCATTAAGAATTTTGTTAGTGTTGCAATCTAAATCGAATGGAATAAACAGGTATTAAGACATTTATAGTGATAAATTGTTGTAGTATGGTATTCTGTAAACTTGAAAACTTGATCTACTCTTTGTAGGTATCATTGGAAAACAAACTTGAAAGTATTTTGTACATAGTACATACTTGTATAGTCCTGTGAAATGAAGTATGGCTATCAGACCAAAGGATAAGCCAAGCTCTAGGTAGCAGAATGGAAATTACTAGTTTGAGAGGAAAATTTGTCTTTGAATGTTGACTATGACTTAATCATTTTAAAACTGATAAACTTGACAAACACCATGTATGAAATAAACATGAAATTAATAGCACTGATTTCATTGTAGAATTTTAAAATAGTTTAAAGGGTACCACAGGTTATCACAGTACTCTTCTCAGTGCCACAAACATCTCTGGTTCAGTATTCTGGAAATACTGAAGCTTTTGTTTTTATTATAATCTCAGCATACTGTACATAATATCTGCTGGTTAAACTTGGGTAATTGGTTAAGCTGACTTACTGTCTGTGTTGATATGTATAGTTCTGAGCACTTGAAGAACTTGCTTAAAAGTGATGATGTTAGTGGTATGTTGGCAATGGGTGGGACTGAAGTAGTGTATCTATTAGAAATTAATGTATTTCCTGAATTCTAAGATGAAGTTCAGTTTTAAGAAGCATCAGCTCATAGGGGGGAAGGAGGAATAATACATTAAATGTATACAGTTCTAAGTGTTTGAAGTAACTAGTTTGTAGCATTTGATTATTGTTATTGCCATTTTAGAATCATGATTTTATTTTAAACCTTTTTTCTGGGGACAAGAAAGGATGATAGATTACTCTGAATCACTTTGGGCAGTTGCCACTTAAATAGTACAGTGACTAAGCAACTTTTATAACTTTATTAGCATCTTCTCTAAATGTAAAATTAGGTTATATGTTATTTTCCAACTTTTTTCTCTCTGTTTAACAAGATACTATAAATAGATGTATTTTCATAATAGAGAACTGAAATCGGATTTTAGTGGATGCTTTTATTGTAGGAATGTGACATATTTCATTTAATGAATTTAATGTTGACTATCCCAATTCTACAGAAGGATTTAATGAGTATTATGTAATTAAATAATTATAACACATAGTAATAATTTATGTGCCAGGCAGTATTCCAGTCACTTTACATGCACATTAACTTGCACAATAATCTTTTGAGATGTAGGTGCTGTAACTGAGAATTTAAGTAACTTTTGCTTGTAAGTTGCAAAGAGTGGATTTGAATTCTGGAAATTGGGTTCCAGAGATAATAATTAGATAACACTTTTTCCACAGGATATAGCCTAATATAGTAAATGACCTCAGCTTGTTATATGTTGGGCATACAAACATGTCTCTGTTTTACTCCCCTTGGTAATGAGTCTAATAAAAAATGGAAATTTTCCCTAGATTCACTGTGTTAGTTGGGGAAGTTTGGAGGCAAAGGTACAGGAGTTTACAGGCGTGTAGTGTAAGTAAATACAGTCACATGCTATATAAGGAAGTTTTGGTCAGCAACAGACCACATGTAGGATGGTGGGCCAGTAACATAACGCTGTATTTTTTACTGTACCTTTTCTATGTTTTGTTATGTTTAGATACACAAATACCATGTGGAGTATTCAATATGGTAATACGCTGTACAGGTTTCTAGCCTAGGAGCTGTAAGACTGTTCCATGAAGCCTGCATTTATAGTAGGTTATACCATCCAGGTTTGTGTAAGTACACAATGAAATCCCCTAATGACCCATTTCTCAAAACGTATCCCCACCATTAAGCAATGCATGGTCATGTTTTCATATACATTTTTAAGCTTCTGTATTCTAATCTAAGAGGCAAAAGAAGGCAAAATTGTTCAAATTGATAATTGAGATTCTTAAATGCTAAAGTTTCAAAAGGATAATTTTAGGCATTGTAACAAAGCAAGTGTTAAATTTTAAAATTAATGACAAGTCTATGCACCTTTTACCTCTAATTGTTTCTTACAGTATGTCTTTTATTATTGAGTAGTAAAATAATAAATGTCAGATCCTTTTTACACGGATTCAAGGGTTTAGGCCAGATTGACATTAACAAAACTTCAGCGTATCTCTCAAGGTCAGTGTAGAAATTGTGTGTGTCTGGAAACTTCTATAGCAATTTTATATTACTGTGACATTAACATGTCATCACTTTTCTAGTAATGTTTTTAAAACAATATATCTTAAAGGCTAGGCATAGTGGCTTATACCTGTAATCCCAGCACTTTGGGAGGCCGAGATAGCAGGACTGGGTTAAGTCCAGGACTTCAACACCAGCCTGGGCAGCAAAGTGAGACCCCATCTCTACAAAAAGTTCGAATGTGTGTGTGTATATATGACACACACACATCGGCACACACATATATATATAAAGTATGTCTGGCAGAGTGCAATTTAAGGGTGAAACTGGTCCCTCACATACGGTGTGAGAAACTGCTCACAGGTTGCTTTCCCCCTTAGCCCTGGGCATCTCATTTGCCCATCATTCCCTAAAGCAACCAGGTCTGTTAGGTATGCAGTTTTTATCTTCATACAGTTAATGGATTGGATGTCAAAACTTTAGTCCTGTTCTGTGGCATCTTAAACTGTTGTGTCCTGCTTTACTAATGAATTCCAAAGTAGTCATTAGGTAGCCTTCCTACTACCTTAGATGGTTTGAGAGTTCGCTATTATGACTGTTCCACTGGTAGAAGCAAAAAGTGAAATTGTAGGCATGTGATCACATGTGCCTATGTTGCTGTCTTTTCCAATTCAGGGGAACTAATATTTAAATCTTGCAGCTTTTTCTGTATTTCATACATTGTGATTTCTCATAGTTGTGCATAGAACTCACTTCCCTACCTTTTCTGGAAAAAAAAATATGTATGTATACACATACATATGTATTGAGCACCTCTATTTACTATGTTTCATGCGCTGAGCATAGAGCAAGAACAGAATGGTCTGGGACTCTGCTCCAAAGAAGTTTTAGAAGCAGACATATTAAAATGCATGAGTCTGGCCGGTAGCAGTGGCTTATGCCTGTAATCCCAGCACTTTAGGAGGCTGAAGTTGGTTGATCACATGAAGTCAGCAGTTGGAGACCAGCCTGGCCAACATGGTGAAACCCTGTCTCTACTAAAAATACAAAAATTAGCCAGGCATGGTGGCATGCACCTGTAATCACAGCTACTTGGGAGACAGGAATCACTTAAACCCAGGAGGCGGAGGTTGCGGTGAGCCAAGATTGCGCCACTGCACTCCATCCTGGGTGCTGGCAACACGCCATCTTAAAAACCATGCATCTGTCTGTGAGGTTCTACAAATAGTTTTTCTTATTGAAACTAGGATTTTATTACTGGGGATTATAGTCTAGAGGTAAATATAAAATGAAGTCTGGTGGTTTTTTTTTTTTTTTTTTTAAGACAGAGTCTTGCTTTGTCACCAGGCTGGAGTGCAGCAGCACAATCTTGGCTCACTGCAACCTCCGCCTCTGAGGTTCAAGCAATTCAGCCTCAGCCTCCCAGGTAGCTGGGACTATAGGCACGTGCAACCACGTCCAGCTAATTTTTGTATTTTTAGTAGAGACAGTTTCACCGTGTTGGCCAGGATGGTCTCGATCTCTTGAACTTGTGATCCTCCCGCCTCGGCCTCCGAACGTGTTGGGATTACAGGCGTGAGCCACGTCCAGCCCTGGTTTGTTCTAAATACTCTTCCAGCTCCATTGATCATAAACAAATAACATTCCAGGAGGACCCTGGCAAACCAGCATAAGCAAATTATAGCTTTTGCGAGACCGTTGCTACTTTTATATTACTGAACTCTATATGATTGTCCAAGTAAAATTTTGTGGCTCTTTTTTGAGTATGTGATTGTACTTTAAAGTTTTTTCACCATTCAGTTAACAAACATTTTTTTAGCATAGTGTAGTATTTTAAATGCAATTGTGTCTGCACTGGTGTGGCTTTAGAGGTTTCTCCAGACACCTTTCCAAAATACTGATCTGTGATTGTTTTCTTTAATGTTTGACCAAACATAATAAATGCTTTTTTTGTTTTTGTTTTGAGATAGTCTTGCTCTGTCACCCAGGCTGGAGTACATGGCATACTCTTGGCTGACTGCAACTTCTGCCTCCCAGGTTCAAGTGATTCTCCTGCCTCAGCCTCCCAAGTAGCTGGAATTATAGGTGCCCACCACCACGCCCAGCTAATTTGTATTTTTAGTAGAGACGGAGTTTTGCCATGTTGGCCAGGCTGGTTTTGAATTCCTGACCTTGTGATCCACCTGCCTTGTCCTCCCAAAGTGCTGGGATTACAGGCGTGAGCCACCATGCCCGGCCCCCACTGTTGTTTTTCAAGGTGCCGCTTAAATTTCTTGTAAATGTCTAGAAACTTAGGCATACGCTAGATGTACACTGTGGCTGGGCACGGTGGCTCATGCCTGTAATCCCAGCATTTTGGGAAGCCAAGGTGGCTGGAACACCTGAGGTCAGGAGTTTAAGACCAGCCTGGCCAACATGATGAAACCTCATCTTTACTAAATTAAAAAAATTAGCTAGGTATGGTGGTACACGCCTGTAATCACAGCTACTCAGGAGGCTGAGGCACAGGAATCACTTCAACCCAGGTGGCAGAGGCTGCAGTGAGCCGAGATTGCACCACTGCTTTCCAGCCTGGGCAACAGAGCCAGATTCTGTCTCAAACAAAAACAAAAAACAGATGTACAACATGTGTAACTTTTTTCTTTGGACACAAAATTCTGTTAGCATTGTTTTCTTATTTTTACTTGTCATGGTGCATGTAGATAGAATGCATTATTTTTAGTGTCTGGTGTTCCATTGTACACATGTATCTCCTGTTGGTTGAATTTTTGCCTTCACAGACCGTCAAGTTGTGTCTGTATCTTTTTACACTAAGCATAAAAAAGACAGATTGATTTTCTTCAGCAATACCAAATGGCACTTACCATCTACCCCTTCAACACTCAAACCATTCTTTTTCTTTTTTTCTTTCTTTTTTTTTAAAAATATACCTAAAGTCTGGGATACATATGCAGAACGTGCAGGTTTGTTATATAGGTACATACGCGCCATGGTGGTTTGCTGCACCCATCAACCCATCATCTACATTAGGATTTTTCCTAATGCTATCTCTCCCCTGCTCCCTACTGCCTTTCAGGCCCTGGTGTGTGATGTCCCCTTCCTTGTGTCCATGTGTTCTCACTGTCAGTTCCCACTTACGAGTGAGAACATGTGGTGTTTGGTTTTCTGTTCTTGTGCCAGTTTGCTGAGAATGATGGTTT